AGGATCCCCAAATGCAGGTGTGAAAAACTTGTTGCATCATTCCCAAAAAGACTCATGGCTGTATTAGCTCAAAAGGGTGCTTCTACTAAATACTGAGCAAAGGGTCTGAATACTTATGACCATGTGATATTTCAGTTTTTCTTTTTTAATAAATCTGCAAAAATGTCAAATTCTGTGTTTTTCTGTCAATATGGGGTGCTGTGTGTACATTAATGAGGAAAAAAATGAACTTAAATGATTTTAGCATATGGCTGCAATATAACAAAGAGTGAAAAATTTAAGGGGGTCTGAATACTTTCCGTACCCACTGTATCTTTAACTTAAATCCAAAGTCTATGTGAAGACAAATAATGGATCAATTCAAAAATGAAAATTTGAAAAGTGATTAAAATAGGACTGAGACATGTTCAAAAACAATATAGTTTCTTTGTGATTATTTTATTTGAAATATTCAATATATAGCATAAAGTTTTAGTATTTTTAGTTTGTGATTAAAGCATGTTGAATTTTAAACCAGATTACACTCAGTCATTTTTTTCCAACATGTTGAAATGTAATGGACACTGCAAAGCTTTGAAAAATAACTTTACAAGGAGAATGTGAAATACAGTACAGCAAGGTTCAAACACAAGAACAAGTGAGGTGAGTCTCAGACTGAGCCACAAACGATGTTATCATCACATCTAAATATGCTGTTTTCAATATGCTTGTAAAACATTAAGTTACTCTAAACCGTATTAGAAATACGGTCGTTACTGACACTGGACCCTTGATGATGTGCCAAAGCTGAAGAGCAACTACAATGTGACACAGCTACATCAAGTGGGCATGTGGGGCCACAAGTCTCTAATGACAAGTACATACTGTACATGCCCATACAATACAAAATGTTTTTCATAATGAGTCAGAAAAAAGGCACATGCAGTGTTTGGCTGGCTGGCTGGCTGAGCATTCATCTTCGTTCTCTTCACTTGTTCTTGGCAGCCAGGGGTTTGCGGCTTATCTTCTTACTTTTATCACTGCTCTTCTTTGGAGGTTCTGGGTTGGCCTGCATGTGTCTGCCATAGAGGTATTTATAGGTCTCCGAGCGAACATACTCAAAAACATGGGAGACACCCAGCTGGAACTGGTCTGCGATGGGAGTGACCCAGGGATTATTCTCTGCTTTAAACACCTGTTTAGGACCAGTCAGATCCAAATTTCCAAGCTCAGGGGGCAGGACCGTCAGTCTGTTGCCCTGGATGTGGAGCTCTTTCAGCTGAGACAAGTCTCCGATCTCCTTAGGCAGCGAGATCAGATCATTATCCCTCAGACTTAATATCTGCAACTTGGTCAGCTTCCCGATGTCAGCAGGCAGGTCCTCGAAGTCGTTATCACTGAGATAGAGAGCACGAAGAGTGGTAAGGTAGAAGAAGTTTCCGGGTAGGGAATTCTGGTTCAGGTTGTTGTAGGTGAGGTCCAGTACTTCCAGAGCTGGCAACGAACCAAATCCTCTGGGCAAGCTGTTCAGACGGTTCATACCGAGGTTGAGGTGTTTCAGCTTCTGAAGAGTGCTGATCTGCGTAGGTAACTCTTCAATCTGGTTGTTAAACATGTTGAGAACCTCGAGGTTCTTCAGCTCAGAGATGTTAGCAGGCACCACCGACAGCTTGTTATGGCTGAGGACCAGCTGAGTAATGTTAGACAAAGTGAACAGTCCTGAGATGTCCAGCATATTCGAAATGCCTCTGTCGCACATATCCACCTCTGGAAGGTTCTTGTCTCGAGTCTCTTCGACTATCTTCTTCAAAGACTTGGACATTTTTCTCAAAATGTGTTTGAAAAAGCAGAACGAAAAAGACAAACGTTAGCCTTTTAACTTCGAGACAGACAGATAGAGGAATTTGCTTCAAGGCCACGCCCTACCGGAAACCATTACACATTTTATTTTTGAGGCGTGGACGTCGCAGTATTAATACGTCACGGCGTTTGGTCATGACGTTTTTAGAGAGCGGCACCGTTTCAGACTGGAATGGGAGCTGGCGGATTTTCTTATATTTTCATAGTTTGAATGGCGCCGAAACAGGACCCGAAACCCAAATTTCAAGAAGGTAATAAGCCGTCTGTTTTTTGTTTTGCTAGACCCGTGGCGTTGGCTGCTGCTGGAGCTATTGGAAAGGTCTATAATGTTAGCTAGCTACTGACCGAAACAAACGCTGCCGCCGTCCAACAGCTAGTTAACGGTATTAGCAGTGAATATATATATAACACGTCTTTGTCATTTTATTCGTAACTTTAGTTACATATACAATATTTTTCTTTACAACGTAGTCTAGCGTTAGCAGGAGCACACTGGAAGAGGCCATGATGTGAATTTCAGCTAGTTAAAAGCGGTAGCTTCCTTCGTACATTGTTAGCTCTTTATTGATTTCATGCTGTTAGCTGAGTGCTAGCTAACCCGCTGTATAGCGAATTGCTGTTGTCTTACACCAGGATTTCTGCTGCTCTATAAAACATTCTCATTGCATTGCGTATCGTTTCTACTTTACTTCACTTACTTGACCACTACTCTGCTCAGGTGAAAGAGTGCTGTGTTTTCATGGGCCATTACTCTATGAAGCTAAGGTAGGCTGCCTTCATGATGCCGTCTCTCTGATCACGTCAGCCTCTTTGTGCCTGGAATTTGTTCTGACGCCGAATCGTGTCTCTCTTGCAGTGTGTTAAGATAAACATCAAGGACAAACAAATTAAATACTTCATTCATTACAGTGGGTGGAATAAGAAGTAAGTTGTTTTTTTTTGCTCAAATAAGAGAAGTCTTAAGGATTTGGACAGCGAAGATTATGCAAGTGCTTTTTTTTTACACATTTTATTGGTGCTTTGTCTTCCAGCTGGGACGAATGGGTTCCTGAGAGCAGAGTACTTAAGTATGTGGACAGTAATCTGCAGAAACAGAAAGAGCTTCAGAGGGCCAATCATTCAGTCCATTCTGTTATTTTAATCAGGTTTTTTTTTTGTTTTTGTTTTTTTGTTCTGTGTTCTTTTTCTGTTTTTGTTTTTTAACCAGCTTTTCTACTATTCCTGTTAATTCCTGTTTATTATCAGGGAGAGCAAAGTAAGGTAAAATATTGTTATCCTCCAGTATCAGCAGGACATGGCATAATATTTAAATATTCAGAAGATCTGCTCGCTTATAATAGACTGGTACACATAGAATACTGCATTATATATGGATGCACTGAAACCGCTATAGGAACAAAACATAATTGCCTATATATAGAAGAGGTTTGCAAAATATTCAGCTCCAGTGCGTTCTGTGTCCTGACATCCCTAAAACAGTTCAGCTGACTTTAACATGAAATATGTATTCTGATATAATGAACCTGTTTTTTCTTAATTCAGAGACCATTATGTAGAAGGAAGAATGAGGGGTGCCGTGCCAAATAAGAAGATACCTGCTGCATCGCAGAAAAATGATGTGTGAGTGTAGCTGTCACCTGCTGTGATGTTGCCTGCTAGTGTTTTTAGAGATTTTATACCTGGTATTGGTTTTTATTATTGTTTTAATGCCTGTAAATGGTTTGTTTCACTTGTAGGAAGACTAAAAAGAACAAGCAAAAGAGTAAGTATATCATACAGTACACAGTTGCCACTCTTTAAATCCATTAACATAAAGCCTCCAAAATATCATTCAGCAGGTTTTTGCACAAACATGATCCCATCATCATTACAATAGAAGCAGTAAAATATCAGGGATGTATAATGGTACCTAAAATGTGCAGGGTGTTGCAATAATTTAGCTTTTGTTTTCTTTATATATTAAATAAGAGTGGAGTGTTTCTGTCCACGCAGCTCCTGGAGTAGGGGAAGGGACAAGTTCAGGAGGAGACCCAACCCACCCTCCTCGAAAGAAGAGGGCACGTGTTGACCCAACTGTTGAAAGTGTAAGTTCCTAAATTTGCAAAATTGCTTTTAGTAATGATGTTTCTGGGTTTTGGGTTCTTTAATTTTCAAGTTAATGTTAAATAATATTGAGCTGAAGTAACTGAATAAGAAGTTTAATTTTGTGTAGCTGCAGAAAAAGTCAGATTTCTAAAATGTTTCCAAGGTAAAGTACTTCATCTCATGGTTTATTTCTGTTATTTGTTCAGGAGGAAACTTTCATCAACCAAGTGGAAGTTAAAGTAAAAATTCCAGAGGAGCTGAAACCTTGGCTGGTGGATGACTGGGACCTGATTACGCGGCAAAAACAAGTTAGTGTCCAGAGAATTTAAAGTCTAATTGTAACCATTTTCAAAGTATTTCAGTTAATAATATGGTCACATCATGTTTCCTTTTTGTCTTTAGCTCTTCCACCTACCTGCCAAAAAGAATGTTGATGCAATTCTTGAAGATTATGCAAATTATAAGAAATCAAGAGGAAACTCTGACAGCAAGTAAATATACACAATGTTGCCTGTCTTGTTGTTGCACTGTTATACAGGCAATCCAGATCATGATTCCTTGTGTATCCATTTTGAAGCTCTGTGCCGTGCATGGGGATATAACTTTCTTTTCTCCTCACTGTTCAGGGGGTTTGCTGTGAACGAGGTGGTTGCTGGTATCCGGGAATATTTCAATGTCATGCTTGGGACACAACTTCTCTACAAATTTGAAAGGCCACAGTACGCGGACATCCTGGCCAACCACCCAGATACAACTATGTCTCAGATCTATGGCGCTCCTCACCTACTCAGACTCTTTGGTACAAATAATTATACATGTCATACTGCTGTAGCATTTGTTATAGAGTATATTGGTTTTAACGTGGCAGCAGTTAAATCATCTGGAGCATCCAAGAGAAGACGGATGTTAAGTAATCTCAGTCATATATCAGAATTTGGTATTGTATTTTTTCACATCCATTTAAGTGTCAGGTGAAACGGTAGGTATAAAGTTACAGCACATATCTGAGATGTTTTGGAAATGGTAATGTCATTTCATTTTTAAGTGTTGCCCTCGGTGGATATCCTGGTTACATTTCTAAAAAAGAAATCATTCTAATTTTAAAAGAAAAACTTTTGTTTTCAGCATTTAAAATTGTAGCCCTCTATTATCCTTTTGCCACATCAACTCAAACTGCACACAGACATTAGAAATGTGCGCAAAGTTAGTTTTAACTGCATTTTGCACAAAGGAGTATTCATGTGACTGACTTGTTCTTCCCTGCTTGTTGCCTGCTTGAAATCAGTGTAGAGCTATCATAAGTGAAGACGAGGTCAGTGGTCACGTGGACTGTAAGGTTCTGTCTTTGTTTGGTTTTGAAAGTGAGAATCGGAGCCATGCTGGCATACACTCCCCTCGATGAGAAGAGCCTTGCACTGCTGCTCAGTTATCTGCAAGACTTCCTCAAGTGAGTATTCAAGACTTGACAAAGCTTTTACAAAAGAGCCACTGGTAGCAGAAATTAATAAAATGTTACCCCATTCCAGGTATCTTGTAAAGAACTCTGCGGCACTTTTCAATGCAAGTGACTATGAAGTGGCCCCTCCCGAGTATCATCGCAAAGCAGTTTAAGGTTGTTTTTTTTTATTTTTTTTATTTTAGCAGCCCTTGTCTTGAAGTTTGGAGATAATGTTCTTACCCATTGAAAGGGTGGGATTCACGAAAACCCTTTGGAGAATGGATTGTGCAAGGTCTGTCGAATTATTTAGGAAGAATAAGAACTAGATGTCGCACTAATCCCTGGACAAATGTACTTTTCTTTCACGTGGAAAGCTGCAGAGTACACTCTT